TCAAGGACAAGTACAAGCAGATCTTCCTGGGCGGCGTGGACAAGCGCACCCAGTTCTGGCGGTACTTTGCCGGTAACCTGGCGTCCGGGGGTGCCGCCGGTGCCACCTCCCTCTGCTTCGTCTACCCCCTTGATTTTGCTCGAACCCGCCTGGCAGCGGATGTGGGTAAAGCCGGGGCTGACCGGGAGTTCAAGGGGCTCGGTGACTGCCTGATCAAAATCTTCCGGTCCGATGGCCTCCGGGGCCTGTACCAGGGCTTCAACGTCTCTGTCCAGGGCATCATCATCTACAGAGCCGCTTACTTTGGCATCTACGACACCGCAAAGGGTAGGTTGACCAAAAACGGCATCAAAAGGGAGATGCCGGGCTGCAGCAGGCCTGTAGTGCATTTCAGCAGATGCTGGTGGCTCACCTGCCATGCTCACCATGCTCACCTCTCTCCCCCAGGCATGCTTCCAGACCCAAAGAACACCCACATTGTTGTCAGCTGGATGATCGCTCAGACCGTCACCGCTGTCGCCGGTTTGACCTCCTACCCTTTCGATACGGTTCGTCGTCGCATGATGATGCAGTCTGGCCGTAAAGGAAGTAAGTTCCTCCCTCCCCATGTAGGATGTGCTGGGCATCCCTGAATCAACAGTTGATGATGGAGCTGAGGTGAAGGCAGAGTGGCTTGGCTTTCACGAAGCCATGTAGATATCCTCACCTCTTGTAAATAGCAGGGTGTGAGAGGGGCTGCAGAAGTGGGTGGCGGGGCGCAGACACGTCAGTCTCCGCAGCATACCTGTAAGGTGGTGTGCACAATTTGGGTACCTGTCAGTAGGTAGGAACAACAGAACTTGCCCAAGGATGTTGCAAACTAGTGTCTCTGGGCCAAGAAGAGACATGGCTGTGAGCAGGCATGGCCTGTCTGACTGTGCAATAGCTTTTGGGTCTGGAAGTGTTGATGTCAAAGCAAACAGCAGCTGCCTTCTGCTCAAACCAGTCCGTCTCCTGGGGCTAATGCAGCAGCAGCATTGTGATCTTGTCCTCTGATGCGCTAATACTGGAGAAAGTCAGTCAGGAAATGGGAGGTGCTTGAGGTGATGAAACTGACAGATACATTAGGCCATTTCTGACCTGGATGTTGGGGGTCCTGGGCATCTGATTCCTAATGCTGTCTGTCTCCCACAGCTGACATAATGTACTCTGGCACTATTGACTGCTGGCGGAAGATTGCCCAGGACGAGGGCTCCAAGGCGTTTTTCAAAGGTGCATGGTCAAATGTGCTCCGAGGAATGGGTGGTGCTTTTGTTTTGGTCCTTTATGATGAAATCAAGAAGTACACCTAAGTTGTTTCCTGTTGTAAACTGGCATGTTGTTTTATGTAGTCTGTGACTGTTCATGGACTTGTTTGAAAACCGTCTGGTTACTGAACAGTGACGGTTGATGTTTATACAGGTTGCCATGGGGCAAGGGCAACTGCCTGCCCTGTCTTTATCAAGTTATTTCCCCTGACAGGACTTGGCCATGGTTTCTATTTCAGTCACTCCTGCTTAAAGAAATAAAAATCTGAAACCAGTTTTGCTTGTCTCATGTTTGTTCTTGCAGCAGCAGCACGAGGGGAGTGGGGGTCTCTTCAGTGATTGTAGAGAAGGAGGAAGATGAACCCTGCATGCCTCACTATCTGCGAGCTAGCTGTGGCCTCTGGCAGGTAGAGGCCGTGCAGGCTGGGGGAGCCCTGTAGTGTTTCCTGCCCAGTGGAGGCCAGTGGTGTGGGCTGCAATGGGGACTTTCAGCTCTGAAGGACTCACCCAGTTGATCTCCCCTGAGACCCCAGTAACCAGAGATGATGCACTGGCTATGTGCCACCAGTCCTGCCTCTGGCCTGTCTGCTCCCCCAGAGCTGATGAAACTTTGTTCTGAAAGAGCCAAGTGCCTAAACCTTCAGCAAAGCACAGCTTTCCCCATGGCACTGCATGCCTGGGAGGCTGGAGAAATGTCTAAGGGGAATTTGCTGCTGTCTGGAGGAGTAGAGCTGCCATCAAGTACTCTGGCTTAGAAGCTGAGCTGCCTGCTTGGGCCTGTTAAAACCCAGCCAGAGAGCGTAAGTGCGGGTAATTGCTGCTCTTCTGTATAGCCCCTGGCCAATCCTGCCCTCGCGTGAGGTGTTGTGCTGTGGGGATGCAGTAGCTGAGCAGAGAGGCAGCTCCTGCGCTAGGCAGGGAGCTGCATCCCCTGGCTCATCCCTTTCCCCTGGAAGTTAAGCTTGTCCCAGCCCTGGATTCTGGGGGAAGGGGGAAATTCCTTCATGCTGCTGGGGCAATTTGGGGAAAACACTGCAAGACTGGGCAATGTGTGTGGCTTGGCCTCTACCCAGACATCTCTGTAGGTCTGTAAAGCTGCCTGGGTTGTGCCTGGGGAGCTGGGGTGGTGAGTGGATGCTCTCCTGGTCCTCTACCCTTCAGCTCAGTGAGTCTTTCCTCACTTCCCCCATGCCTTTGGTGCTTTCTGGCTGCCCAGGCCTGCTCAAAGCGGTTGATCTCAATCACTGAAACCAGTCTCAACCACTGTCCGAGGCCGATAAACAAGCCCTTGTGTTGCAAAGGGCAGTAGTTCTTATTGCTGAAATATGAGCAGGGCAGCTGGGCATGAGAGCACAGCATCGTCCCACCACAGCCTGTGTGGGCATGCTTGGGTCCCTGGGAATGGGTGTGTACACTGGTGATGGGAGAGGGTCTCATGCCACGCTGTTGAGCCCAGAATCTTTGCTGGTGCTTTTCAACTGCCCCTGGGCTCCTGCGGTGTGAGATCCCTTGCTGCCTGCCGTGGAACAAAATGGGCTGCAAGCTTCCCCGTGAGACACAGACACCACAAAGCGGTGGGCAGCGTGCTGGGGGAGCAGGCAGCAGCCTGGCAGGGGGCTGTGCCAGGGCACAGCCTTACTGGGAGCCCTCTCCTGCTGCACAAACACAGCTAATTAAGGGCTCTGCTTTTACTGCCTGCTGCTGCTGAGCTCTCCTGGATTCCGAGGGCTGTTCTGAAGTGCTGTTGCTTGCTGAGCGTGGTGCATCCTTTCCTTTCATCTGCAGGAGATGCGTGGCCAGGCTGTTAGCACGGGGAGGTAAGTGCATTATTTCTTCCTACACATGGTGGTAGGTGACTGAGGTGCTCAGCCAGTGTGCCAGGCTGCAAAGGAGCTGAGCTGGGGGACCCGTAAGTTCTTAGACCTACAGCATGGTGCACTGGGCTCAGGGAGCAGGGCTGGCAGAGAGTGAAATGGGTTGTCACTACCCACGCTGGTTACCACCTTTGGGACTCGGGAAACAAGCATGTGTCACAGATTTTTTTAGCTCTGGCACATGGGAGATGTGGGGCAGAGCCCACGATGGGTTCTCCCTGTGCTCCATGGCCAAGGATCACAGACCAGCAGCTCCTCTGGCCTGGGACCCCTTAGGGATTTAACCTCCCCTCCTGGCAGCTCCCTCAGAGCAGCTTTGTCAGGGGAAGCAGGTTGGGGGGGGTTCCGCTGCTGCTTTTGCCTGCCACAGGAGCTCGTTATGGAGGGATTAAGAGCTTTGTTCTTGTGGGGAAACTGAGGCATGAGAAAGGGACTGGGGCCAGCCAGTGAGCTGTGTGCAGTCCCTCCAACACAAGCATTTTGCCTGCCAGGCCGTGCTGCCCCAAGGACAGCAGGGGCAGGGGTGGATTTTCCTTCTCAACACAGTTCTCTTGTGTGGAGTAGTGAACATCTCATAGGTCATTATTTCCTCCACGGGAGCTATGCCCAGCCTGGCGTATCAGCCCCTTTCCTGGCGGGAGGGGAGGGCGAGCACCTGGAACGCCACTTCCATCTTGGCCCCTCGCCCAGCAGCCGTAAATCCCGGGCTTAGGAGCTGTTGACGCAGCGCGGCTGCTCACGGGATGGTGTGAAACACTCGTCAGTGGCTGGGGCAGGTGGCGAGCGGTGCTGGGTGTTTGGAACGGCTCGGTGTGTGCCAGCCCCCCAGGCTGGGCTGCCCACGGTGCTGAGTGGCTGCAGGATGGGTCTGCCCTTGCCCCCCACCAGCTCTGTGGGTCTGGGCTGGAGGCTCTGGGACCACCCTTCGCCTGGAGATTTGGGTGCTGGGCAAGGAGAGGCAGGGTCAGCCACTGTCTTCCCAGGGTGGGTTGGGAGGTGCTAATGGCAGCAGAGAGGAGAGCAGGGCTCTGGGGCTCTCCCTGGGTGGCAGGAGGAGGTGCGATGGCTGAGCTTCCCTGCTCTCCTCTGCTGGAGATGGGTGCAGGGCCAGGAGTGATGGAGCAGGACAGCAGCATCCCCCAGCCCTCATCTCACCCCACATCCAGGCTGAGCTGTG